CCTAGGCAGGCCTGGGTGGGAATTTGGGGTTTAGGGTTTAGGGTTTAGGGTTTAGGGTTTAGGGTTTGGGGTTTAGGGTTTAGGATGATTATGTCGATGATAAATGAGGTTTCCAGGGTTTATCCAGGTTTTATGAAGAAAGGTGTCGGAATTTCGCGTTTTGTGGTTTAGGGTTCAGGGAAACACATTAACATATGAGGCCATTCCAGCTTTAGTTTCGTACACGCGCAGCTTCACCTCAATTTTTCACCCTCAACCCTGAAACACGGACCCAAACACCTGCGCTTTGCAATCTCAAAACGAAAATAAAGCCGCCAAAGAGCATCAACGGAGTGGCACCTGCGTGGCATAGTAGTAACAATAAGAAGCGCCACATTGTTTGGGGTTTAAGGTTCAACAACCACCACCGCCGCCGCCCACCCCGGCCGCTGCCGCCACGACAACAACAATAATGGTAAAGGTAATACTGAAGAAACTAGCGAGAGAAGAATAGCAGTAGCAACAATGATAATGCTCCTTCAACCTTAGCTGCTGGAATAAGATTAATAATACCAAGAATAAAGGTAATACTGAAGAAATTAACGAGAAGAATAGCAATAGCAACAATGATAATGCTCATTTAACTTTCGTTGTTGGAATGAGAACAATAATGTCAACAAGAAGAACATCAGTAAGGAGATGTAACAACCACAACAACCAAAAACTTACAATAACCAAGAAGAACACGAAGTGCGCCAGAAAGAATAACAACAAGAATAACAATGGCGGCGATGTGGTGCCTGTGCGGTTACAGCCCTGAAACCTAAGGACCTAAAAGTCCAAACCCTAAAACCCTAAATACTCCAAACCTTAAAAGCCCTCAAGCCTGAAGACCCTAAACCCCAAAAATGTGGCGCCTTTGGGAGCCTCGAACCCGCAACCCCAATCTTTAACCCTAAATCCTAGAGCAGTCTCGGTTTCTTCCGTTCTATAAAGAAAAGGATATGAATAAAATTACTTCCTTTGTTGTTTCCATTTCATTTTCCAATTTCTTTTCCATTTGATTCTCCATAATTGGGGGATAAAAGCCCCTATAAACCCCTAAACCCTAAACCCCTAAACTCTAAACTCTCCCCTTTGGAGGTGCCTTTGTGGTGGTAAGCCAGCGAGGTGAGCCTGGATGGGCTGACCAAGTGTCCTGGCGTCAAACAGAATACAGGGTTATAGGGTTTACGGTTTAGGGTTTGCTGTGATATAGCATTGAAGCGGAGATAGTCATGCCACAGAGTCGCTTTGAGCGCGTCGTGCCATGCGACATGCTGCTTGGGCCTGACTTTGGAAGGCCATCTAGCACATTCACCCACCCCACGCCGTCCCAGGCGGCCAAACCACCCAAACCTATTTCTCTTAGGGTTTGGGACCTAAACTCAGTTAGGTCCATCTTGGTCAACAACACGACACATTTCTACAGCCAAGATTCTGGTTTCCGAAAGGCTTGAGGAAACCTCTCGGGGAGACTGCAGAGGGCTCTCACAGGCTGGGACTGGAAGGCCCCCGCCAAAATAGCCCTGGCCTGGAAGGCATTAAGAGTGGAGAACGGGGTCCAGTACCGGGCCTATCATCGGGGCTGTGCTGAGGCAGGTCCAGGTCTGTCGGTGCCTTCAAGGTCGAGGGGGCATAGGCGCCGCCCACCATCGTAGGTGGGCGGCCTAAGCCATGAGTTTAGGGTTTGGGGTTGAGGGCTTAGGTTCGTTTTGGGAAAATGGAAACTACATGGATTATGGGGTTATGTAGGGGGTTATATAAGTGGATAATGGAAAAGAAAATGGAAACTACCATTTGGGGTTTAGGGTTTAGGGCTTATGGTTTTAGGGTTTCGGGATATTATCCCCCAATAATGGAAAATCAAATGGAACAGGAATTGGACAATGAAGTGGAAACAACCATAGGATTTAGGGTCGTTTTGGGGGAGCTTCAGTAGGGAATATACTGTATTGGGGTTATCTAGGGAAAATGGAAAATACCATGGAAACTACTGTTGAGGGTTTAGGGTTCAGGGCTTGGGCTTAGGCTTTTTTTAGGCTCAGGGTTCAGGGTTTAGGGTTCAGGTATAAAGCTTAGAGTGTAAGACTAGCGGGTTTAGGGATATAGGGTTTAGGGTGTTTAGGGCATAGGGTCGCCAATGCTATCGCCTCTTTAAAGGGGTTACAGACGAGATATAGGGGCTTGGGCTTGGATAACGGAGAATGAAATGGAAAAGACAATGGAAAATGAAATGGGAACTACTATTAAGGGTTTACGGCTTTAGAGCTTAGGAGTTTAGGGATTTGGGTCTTTTGGGTTTATCGATTTAGGGTTTGGTTGGGGATTTGGGGTTTAGGCGCAGGTATGGAAACACAAGGGGTTCTGTAAAGGTTCTAACATAAGGATATTTAATGTTTTGAGAATAGACAACAAAGACTTATCTTCCTGTCAGGTTGCAATTCGAAAAAGAAAAAACGAAAAACTATCCCTACTGGCTTTTATAAAGAAATTCACAGTAAACACGACAAACTTATGTTCCCTAATAGATTTTTCTATTGTACAGGATGAAAGTGTTCTCCAAAACCCTAAAACCCTAAACCCTAAAACCCTTAAAACCCTAAACCCCTAACCCCTAAAACCCTAAAACCCTAAACCCTAAACGCTAAACCCTAAGACCCCCAAACCCTAAACCCCTAAACCCCAGGTTGAATCCCAGTTCAACAATGACAAAGAGTCGAAGGCTGAAGGCGTTCAAGATCAGCCACCAACCTTGCATTCTTGAAATAACCGTTTTAACGGGAGCATATTGTGTTTTATGTTGGGATAATAGAAAAGAAAATGGAAACTACTATGTTCAGGGTTTAGGGGTTTAGGGTTAAGGATCAGCCACCCACCTTGCGTTCTTGAATTCCTTATTAACCCCTTGGGGTAATATTAGGGCTATATTAGGGTTATATTGGGATAATGGAAAAAATGGAAGCTACTATTTGGGATGATTAGCCACCAACCTTGCATTCTTGAATGGTCGTTTTTTTCACGGAGTTTAGGGTTTAGGGTTTAGGTAGGGTTTAGGGTTTAGGGTTTTTAGGGTTTTTAGAGTTTTAGGGTTTAGGGTTTAGGGTTCTAGGGTTTTAGGGTTTTAGGGCTGCAGGGTTTAGGGCTATATGGGCTACAGCCAACATATCGCCATATAACTCATGGACATGGGTTTCTATTAGGAAATATATTAGAGACTATACTAGACGGTTATCTTGGTGTTATAGGGGTTATATAAAGGAGCTTCTTTTCTAGAAGGATTGATATGAGAAATGCCCATATATAGAGACATGATATAGACCGAAGAGGATGTCAGAATGGAAATTGGGGTGGTGAGGTTTGAGATTTGGGATTTGGGCAGGTTATTTGGGAGAATATGGTTGTTCTTTCAGAAGCCACAAATGTTTTGTAGGGGCGTAGAGGGCTTGCGGATAGAAAAACAGGCGCTATGGGATTAGGCGTTTAGTATTGTTTAGTTAGAGGCATGGGTAAGGAACTAGAACTACAGTACTTGTTACTGAAAATTAACGGCGAAAAGTTTCAATCAAAAAGAATATTGGCGAGAGAAACATGGACCGAGCCTAAAGAATTGAAACTAGGCTTGCGGGAAGGGCGGGTTTGGGGTTTACTAGTTTTTGAACAGGGCTGAGCCGCCAGCTTAGATTCCAGTTTAGAATTTAGGACTTAGGATTTATGATTTGGGCTTAAGTAAACTCAAAACAAAGCGCTGATGTTATCCAGCCACTTGGGCTTTACAGCCACTCGGGCTTTTGCCCTATCTAGCTTTGGTTTACGCTTTTGATTCGGGGTTTGCTGTGTAGTGCTTTCAGGCTTGCGGTCTAGGGTTGTAAATTTCAAGGACTTATCGGAAATGTGGAATTCTAAACTGGTAGCCAGAAATATATACTGCTGAAAGTGTGAGCATTCAGCCAACACAGACCCAGCCACCGGTTTCCTTTGTCGAGATGCGGAAACGCTCGTTGACGTCCGCCCGTGCACGGACCAGCTGCAAAATTGTCTTCGAAGATCCCCCTCCACCGAACATGAGCGCGAAGTGCAAGCCATGACGCAAGGTTTGAGTGGGCATCTGAACGAGGACTTCAGTCATGGCCCGGGCGCTGCCACAAGCACATGCCGCCTTATTTCCCACAGCAGCGCAGGATCACCAGCAAACCGAACAAAAACATTAGAGGCAAAACAGGAAAATCGCAGAATTGCACCACAAAAGTCAGAGGAGAAATCGTGCAGTCCAGGTAGTATGGGCAATACAAATACCCATGACCATCATGGTCTTGGTAGCAGCAGCAGCAGCAGCAGCCGCAACAGCGGTGGCGGCAGTTGCGGCGGCGCTGGCGGCCATCGGCGGCGATGCCAGCAGTATACATACCGGTAGCAGTAGCGCACTAGCAGACACGCCACAACAACCACGACCCAAGCACAACCACGACTAAGACCACAGGACCAAGACCGTGGCCACGACGGCGGCGACTGCAACTCTAGGGTGGAAGGGCCAACCACCACGACCACCACAAAACCACTGCGACGACCAAGGCCGCCACGACCACCACAGACACCGCGAGCAAACCAGCAGCAGATCGCAATTACCACGAATAACACGACCGCCCAACTACTACAGCGAGGACAACCGCAACCACGAAGCCACCGCCACTATCAGACCAGGACGCGGAGCAGGACGAGGAGGACAAGAAAGACGAGGAAAGGGAGCAGCAGGAAGGGGAACAGCAGGACGAGGAGCAAAAGGGCGAGGACAGGGACGAGGATGAGGACGGGGATGACAGGGACAAGCACGAGGATAAGGATGAGGACAGGGATGAAAGCAGTACCACGACAAGGAGGACGACGACAGCGGCGGCGGCTCAAACAACGAAGACGAAGTAACCAATAACAATGACAAAAGCAATAGTGCTAGCACCAGCAAAACAAAAATAGTTCCAGGACCAGTTCCCTGTCCCCTACTTCAGTAGGCTCGCCGCTGCCAAAGATAAATCCTAAACGCGAAGCCCGCATCCTTTTGCAAACAAAGTTGCCAGGAATGGATCGAGGCCAGGGATACATTTCCTGACACAGATCCAGGCTCTCGCACACAAAACCTTCAAGTAAAGGGAACAATACATGAAAATACACGAAACAAATCCTCCATTAACTTTCAGATCTACCCCAGTTTCTGGTACAGATTTGCGCGGGCCGTTGCAAGCAGGCGTACAGCTTCAGCATTGTCTCCAGCCCATGCCCAATGAAGAGAGTTTCCGGAATTGCCGTCCAGGGCATTGACATTGGCTCTCGCTGACAACAATAGTTTTGCAGCATCATTGTTGCCATAATAGACAGCAATGCCCAACACCCTGGCTTTTTTGGGCAACTGCTCCTGAAGTCGGGGGGAGTTCTGCTACTGGCAGCTACAAGCTTTATCCAATGAGACGCTCCCTCTGAACCCATCATCTCTTCATCAAACGCACGAAAAGAGTCTTACGAAAAGATGCGCTTCATGATCGCAAAGGCTGGGTCTCTGGTGCCCGGCTTGGGTATGCTGGGTGTGATGTCTTAAGGGGACCCCCACCCTGTAATAGTTATGAAGGATGATAAGGATTGTATTAGGGTCCTCTTATATTCCTACTACAGGGTGGGGGGTCCTCGTAAGGTATGCTGGGTATGATGTCTTAAGAAATACAGAATGCGGATGCTGTAGCAGCATGAAAAAGATTCCGGACAGTATTGCTCAGCAATCTCGAAGCATCTGAACCTAAAAAAAACGCAATTGAAACCCCCTAAGCCCTCGCGAGAGTTTGTCAAAACAGTGATGCTTTAGAGACTCTAGGGGCATGGGGGGAAGGCTAGTTCAAGAAATTACACAGGCCCATATAGCTGTTAGCACCTAACGGAAGTATCCCTTTCCCTGGATGAGCCGTCCCTTAATCCTACTCCCATGATGGAACACTACACGTGGGAATCTTTAATTCGAGGGGGTGGGGTTCTAAAACAAGGCAGCCAAGGAAACCCTAAACCCCTAAACCCTAGCGCCTTCACGCGTGCTTTTGTTATCATGTCGTTTGGATCTGCGCGGTGATCCAGAAGTGCCTGGCCACGAGGGCTAAACCGTGTTGGGGTAGTGTTTAGGCCTTAGGATTTACTACTCCTAAGACTGCTCCTTTCTACTAGTATGATATCATGACCAAGCCTGCTAGTACTAGTTTTATTATTGTTACTATTATTACTCTCATTACTAAGAATACTATTTTACTAGTACTACTATCAGTATGGATACTGCTGTTGTTACTATTATGACTCAATTATGGCTATTCTTACTACTTCTACTGTTGTCACTATCATTTCTATTATTACGGGTATTGCGCATAGAACTGTTCTTACTATTATTACTGTTCTTACTATTCTTACTATTATGCCTGATAACCCTGTTTCTATTTTTATTATCATTATCATGGTTACTGCTGTTACTATTATTACCGTGGTCAAGGTTCACGAAGGGGAAACCTTTGGGGGAGGCAGTATGGGAGGGCGCTGGGAGAACCCCTTACTGTTGCGGGTAAAACGGAAACTAGCATTTCGAGTAAATGAAACAGACTGTGTTTTTTCAAAACTGCCCCTGAAACTCCACACAATTCTTCCCTGAAGCATGCTCTAAAACAAGCGTGATTAAGAGTTTAGGGTTTAGGGTTTAGGGCACACTTATGTTCTAGATTAAGGACTGCAGCTTCAGGGGGATGGATGGGGGCCTAATGCAGGGGCCGTTCATGAGGGCTTGGGCTTGGTTACTGTAGTTAGAGGAGCCATATGGGCAGTTTCCAAAATTACGGTCCCATTTTGGTACCCCTGAATATTAGGTGCCGTAATAAATTCTATAACCAGATGGGGCCCATAGTTTTGAGAATTCCCCATATGGGTTATGCAAGGACCTAGAAAGCTTTAATTTAAGGATAGATGCTGGAGAATCAACGACACGAAAGTGGAAAAATGAGATGGGAACCAGGTTGATGTAGGGGTACATGGGGATTGTCGGGATTGTTTAGGAGCCTATTTACTGACAAAGGGGCTTGGGGCACATTATACTGTACTTGCACAAGGACCAGAAGGGACTCAGATTAGCACTTGAAACCCCAAGCCGTACACCCTGAACTTTAGACCCTGAACCGTGAACCCTAAACCCTAAGCCCTAAACCCTAAACCCACTACTCCCCCTACCCTCCACGGTCTTAAGATGGCACCTGGAGACGTCTCAGGGCTTTAGAACTCCCAACCCTACTGTCATCCCCAAGTATGTTAAGGGTTTAGGGTTGAGGGTTTAGAGTTTAGGGCTTACGGTTCAGGTTTCTCCAAAATCCATGAATTCCAAACCTGCTGCTACCCCCCGAGAAAAAAAAAACACACACACACACACACGTCCATTTCCACCGGGCAGTTTCTCAATGGGACTGAACCCAGAGGCCCTGAACCCTAAAGGTAAGCCCAAAATGCCCAAACCGCGTTTTTCTCATCACTGCGAACAATCCTTGAAAGAAACCTGTACAATCTTCTCCGGACCCACAGGGCAACATCCCCAAGATCCCGAACAAGCATCTTACTTTTAGGGCTTGGAGTTCCAAGTATAGGGTTTCGGGTTTTCGGGGTCCTAACCCCCAAGCCCTAAAAGAAGGTGCAGGGTTCAGGATTTGGGGTTTGGAGTTTAGATTTGAAGCTTCTAAGGGGCACTCCATAGAGGGGGTTAGGGAACTACTATACGGGCTATTAAGGGGGATTTTATAGGGGACTACTATAGGGGTTATTCAGGAGGATACTAGGAGTTTAGACCCTAAACGCTATACCCCAAACCCCGTACTAAGGATTATCAAGGGAGATACTAGGAGCTTAGACTAGAGCTCGTATAGTCCCTACATAACCCTACATATAGCAGTTTCCATTTCATGTTCCATTTTCTTGTCCATTTAAGTCTCCATTATCAGGGGATGCATAACCCTAAACCCTAAACCCTAAATAGTAGTTTCCATTTTCTTTTCCATTATCCCTATGTAACCCCCTTTTATTTCCCGATAGAACCCTATAATCCCCGTAGTCGGAGTCCCCACCTGGACAATCTGAGGATCACCGTGCATGGCGGCATAGCACAGGGGAGACCATCCAGCAGAATCACGATCCAGCACTTTTCGGGAACCATTCCTTGAGGGGTTTGGTTGTGGCTAGGTAGGGGTTTAGGCTTGAGGGTTTAGGATTACGAAAACTAGTGTCTCAGGACAAGGAGTTGAGACTCCTGGTGCATCAAATGGAAAAAGTCATGGGAACTGTTATGGAAGCCGGGCTTACGTGTGCGGAAATTTGAGCCTTGAGTGGAAAATTCAAGGTCTACTGGCTCCTTACTTAAAACCTCTGTTTCTATATTCCTCATTGCTATGCATGAAACAAAGAAAACATATATAACCCCAATGTACACCCCTACTAATTCCTACAAACCCTTCTATAGCACCCATACCCTGTAAACCCCACCTGAAATCCTAAACCCCAAACCGTCTGACCCAGGGCTTCAGCTTAGGCCTAGGGTTGAGGGCTTACGGTGAAAATTCTCTAAGCAGAAAGAGCATATGAGCTATAGTCTAAACTCCTAGTATCCCCAGTAACCCTTGAATACTCCGGTATATAAGCCCCTCACACACACACACCCCTTAAGGAGTAAGAGTATAACTCGTATGCTGGTAGTATGACTGTCCAAGCACACTCATACAATTCAATTTGAGGCTTGTTTTGTCGGGCCCTTTGAGTCTGCACGAATGCATACAGTGTACAGTTTTGGGTTCGGGGTATAACTTATATGGTTACTTGGATCGGGTGCCAGCGAAATCCTTCCTGATGAGCTGGCGGGATTGAGGTATCAAGTTTCGAGAATCGGTGCTTTCGAGTGAGACACAATCAAAAAAAAAAAAAAACTGCAAAAACCCGAAACCCCAGACCTTGTACAATCACCACACATCCTCTCGCATCTCTACATTCTCACGCTGTAGGGGCCTGTGTCATTAGAATGTCTCGGGGCTTACCATAGTACAACGAAAACAGGTTTACAAGGAAACACAGTTGTAGTTATACCAGCTTCGACACTACAAAACCCCTACATACCTCTGCAATTTCATTGTCGGCTGACTTGTCCACCTGATTCCCCATTTTTGGCTGGCAACATCCCTAAACCCTGAACCCAAAACCCTAGTCCGCGATCCCTCATCCCTAAACCCTAAACCCACCCCACTTGAAAAGAAACCCGACTAACAAGCGCGAGGGCTCTGGTGAAGGAACCACTCCTCAGGACATGGGGATGTAATGACACACATTATCATATGGGATATTATCCCCTAATAAGGGAGAATCAAATGGAAAAGAAAATGGAAAATTAAATGGAAACTAGGCAATTTATAGGGGGATATAAGGGGGTTATATTGGGATAATGGAAAAGAAAATGGAAACTACTATATGGTGATACTCCTACATTTGCAGGGTTCGCTTATAAGGCTTTAATGTTTAGGGATCAAGGTTTAGGGTTTGGGGTGTACTACAAGGTCATTTAAAGATACACAGGGATGATGTAAGAAGTTATATTGGGAAATTCATGCAAAGAGAGAGGGCTTAGAGGTTAAAGCAAATCAGAAATTGGAATAAGGTCTTGGGGCTCTTCAGGCTTTGGGGTGGGCTTCAAAGATGATACAGGGTTTAGGGCTGCGGGCTTAAAGATTTAGGGCTTCGGGATGGAAAAGAAACAAGGAATCATGGAAATTCTGAAAGGGTTAGGGTTTAGGGTTGAGGGTTTAGGGGGCGTAGGGTCGAGGGTGACGCTTGGGATATGGTTATGAATTCAGCTGGATTTTGGCGGTCACCACGGAAGATATCTACATGGGGAGCGTACTACGCTTCAAAAACGTAGTCCCTGGCTTACACTTCATGGTGCTCACAAAAGGCTCCAAAATGAGAGCTTGCGCGGAGTTGCTCCTGGGCTTGCAATACGTTTTCCGAAGTTTCTGAGGCCACTGGTGCAAACTTCTCTTGCAGGCTTCCTGAACCCGAAACCCCCCAAACCAGGGTTTGGGGAAGGTACTGGCTTCATAGTGTGCTGCTCAGTGATAGGCACACCCTACAACAAAGCGATATTTTACTAAGCTTGGCTTAGCAGTCGCGACAACTTTGGGCTCCTCCTTACCGCTGATGTTACTAAAGACCGTTACTTTGCATTCCTGTTTTAAAAGGGTTTCCCAAAATTAGGGGCACCATTCTGGGGGTCCCCATAGTAAGGAGTTAGGGTCCCCCTATTTTCGGAAACCCTAAACCCTAAACCCCTCATTCAGTTTTAGAGTAACTCGCCAAGGTTGGTCCAGCCTCAGGGCATTCGAAACCCACTAAAAACCCCCTCTACAACAGGGTCCTAAATAATCACCACACGGTTTAGCGTTTAGGGTTACAGGGGCCTAAATAATTACCAATATCATTTTGAGGTCCATTTCAGGTACCATAGATCATAGTTGTATAAAGAATATACGGAACCAAAATCAATATTGGTAATTATTTAGGCCCCTATCTTACTTCCCTTTGCTGAACCCAACAACCCCGGCCACGTCCCCTCCCCCTGTTCAGCGGTGGGTGACTTTACATTCCTGCTTTATTCAGCTGTAGAAAAATTAAAGCTGAAAACTGTATGAGACAGAGTCCATATGTTCCATAAAGCTACTAGAGATTATAATGTCCGCCCTTCACCATGCCTTGGTAAACCGAATATTGACAGAAGCTCCTATGTAACAAACCCTAAACCCTAAATTCTAAAATTCCAAGCCCCTAACAAGCCGAGAATCCATGAGGAACTTCCCCGGTTGCAGACAGGGATCTGCATCGGTGCAGAAAGAGGATACCATCCCTGCTATCCTGGGTTGCTGCTAGGAGCTTAAATTAGTTACCATATTATGGGCATACAATGAAGAATGGGGTTTGCTTATTCTAGCAACTCATGTTATAGTCCCCCTTGAGTAGATAGAATATGGCTTTGGGTATATCATAGTAAGCTCCCCGTATACCCCATATTCTATCTACTTAAGGGGGACTACAACCCTAAACCCTAAACCCTAACTAGTAGTTTCCATTTTAATTTCCATTCTTTATCCCTATGTAACCCCCTTACATTTCCCCTATATAAGCCCCTATATTGGGAACTCTAAGTTCCTTAACCACAATCCAGTATCGGAGGCACATCCAAGTCCTTGAAGAATCGTGCTTTCTGGGAATTCAGCAAGAAACCTCGAGGTGGCGTGGGGTTTAGGGGCCTTTTTAAGGCTTAGGGTTTAGGGTTTAGGGGTTTAGGGGTTAGGGTTTGGGGGTTTAGGGGTTTAGGGGTTTAGGGTTTAGGGGACCATTAAACCCCAAACCCTTTAAACCCTTTAAGGGTTTGGGGTTTGGAGGATGAAAGCTTAGGGTTTGATGGGTTAGGGCTTTGGAACTCAGGGTTCAGGGTTTAGGGTTTAAGGTTTGGGGTTTAGGATTTAGGGATCTTGGCTGCCGGGGCAGCAAAAGAAATGCAATGAGGCTTTGCAAGACAGGGTTCTCTACATGACCTCATACGCATCAGCTTGGTAGGTATCATGAACCCCTTTTAACCCGAAAACGGTGATGTTTATAACAACCAAAACAGCAAATATAGGGAACCATGCAAGAAGAAGTCCAGATTCTGGCCTTTGCTATAGATCTCACCCTGTTGAACAAGTTCAATTGGATTATCCCCTGCCGCCAGTGTACGTGCAGATCCTGAACCCAAAACAAGCTCAAAACCTTCACCAAAATCTGCCGTCATCCGGGAGGCGATAGTTGTGCAACTCTCCGTTCTTCAGGTAGTAGAGCAGCTTCGCCCAAACCATCCGAACCTTTCTCTTTCAATCAAAGGTTCAGGAATTCGTTTTATATTGGGATAATGGAAAATAAAATGGAAACTACTATTTGTGGTTTAGGGTGGGCTTCAGGGTTGTGGGAGTCTGGATCAAGGAAATGTCGGGACCTTTGAACAGGCGAACTAAGATCTTGAAAGTTTTCCTGTTCGAGAAGTCCGGCACCATCATTCTGCCCGCTCTGGGCCTATCCGCCTCAACGCTGAACCTGCAGTTCCGATATGCTTTGGGGTTCAGCGTCTGGAGGTTTAGGGTTTCAGGGTTGAGGGTTCAGGGGCTGAGGGTTAAGGGTTTTTGGATGCGGGGTTTTTGTTAGAGTCTTTTAGCTGATACTTCTACACACTGAGATGGAAGCCCAAAGCAGAGCCTTACCTGTGTGTTTGGTGGCAGGTGGGGCGCGAAAGCCCATGACTGTCTTAGTTTTTTGGATTATGTTTATATCGAATCGGTTATAGTATGGGGATTTCATAAACAGGCGGCGCGGCATAGACCACAACATACTGCAATTCTGATTACAAGACATCTCACTGAAAAAAAGTTTTGGAGGGATCCTACATGCACCTACAACCCCTCGAACAAACCCACGACTTCAGAAACCCTAAACCTAAAGAAACAACAATCACACCTTCAAGAAAACACTCCACGGCTCAAGATCACTTTCTTGTAGCCCTAATGTTATATCACCCCCTTTTCCTCCCATACCCCTAATGCCCACAGCAAACTGGCAGAACAAAAAATGTTACGTCATGGGTTCCCGCCCTACTTCCTCATATACTAACCCCCCCCCCCCCC